GTGTTCATCTAGCTGGGCACACATGTAATTTCGTGTTCATTTAATGTGCACATATGCAATCACGGCAACTACAAAGTCATGAAACTCACCCTAGGTTAGGAGGATGGATCTTCAAATGCAGCGAGTAGAATACCACACACAAACACTGCCTTTTGAGATCTGCTTGAACATCCAGGGGTGGATTTTTCTAAGTGGATGTTTGTTTATTTGGTTTTTCTTTTCGTTTTCAAGACAGTTTCTTTGTGTAGCCTTGGCTGTCCTGGACTTGCTTGGTAGACCAGGCTGGCCTTGAACTCAGAGGTCTGCTGGCCTCTGCCTCCTGGATACTGGGATTGAAGGTGCCTGCCACCACACCTGGAAGGTGTTTAAAACATTCACAAGGCCTGGGGTGGGAGGTCAGGGGTAGGGTGCTTGCCCTATGTGTTCAAGGCCCTGGCTGTTCCCCATTGCCACAGAAAACTGGCTGTGGTGTAGTGGAGTGGTACATGCCCATCATTCTGCCACTAGACAGACAGGAAGATACACATTAAAGGCAAGATTAAAAGGCAGGAAAACCTTGGAGAAGTGAGAAGAAAAAGGGTCACTCACCCAACACCTCTCATCAGCAATGAAGCAAGAATTCCAGTAATTAACAACTGGAAGGCTTTTCCCTTCCCCACCATAAACCTGCAATTTTCTAGGAATCTGACCAGAAACTCAATTTACGGGGAAAGGACATGTACTGAATCCCTGGTACAATCCTAGTGGATCCTGGTTTTATTCTATCACATTACAAATCAGCCCTGACTACCTTACAATTTCTCTTATCAAGAGAGTAATGGGGGAGGAGTCCTGAAAACCTTTTTAAATGGAACTTCAGAGCCACCAAAAAAGGCATATATGAATAATTCTAAGAGACTTAATTGCCTCTCCCTCTTGAAAAGCCCATACCTAAACTTGGGTATGTCTTACTCTTCCCCGACTCCCCCTGGAGAAGCAGAGACCTACACATGGGGATGACTTCCTAAGTGTCTTGTTCTCCTAATCCTCATGCTCGGGCCTATCTTAAAATATCTTCAATAAAAATCGCCAATTCTGCTTCATACTGGCCCAGCCTGAGATTCTTTTCTGAGCTGAAGCCTCAAATCCAGGCTTAGCCTGAGCCTCCTCAGGCTGCTGCAGCTAATGGCACGACACTGTTTCTGTCCCCAGTCTGTTGACAAATCCAAGGGCTTTGTGTAGCTCAGGGGTGGAGCATACACAAGGCCCTGAATTCACTTCCTAGTACAACACAGAAAACAAAAAACAAAACAAAAAGATCCCATCTTTTTATGAAAAAGGATGGGGCTCTCATCTTCTTTGACGGTTCACAGCTCCTCTCATAGGAGACTCTCTGGCCTGACACTTGGTTGAGACTTTGCACTCTCACAATGGCAGTCCCTTATTTCAGAAACCTTCCTCTTCCCCTCAAAGTATTAGCTGTCTATGACAGACAAAGAGACAGTGTTACTGCGTTCCTGGATTGCCCAGGGGCACACAGTAAACGGCTTAGCCATACTCCAGATCTCTGCAAAGTGCTTGTGGCCCTGCAAACTAGGGTGAGGTGATGGTGGTTCCTATACATCTCCACTGATGTCTTTGCAGGGATGACCTCTGCCTGACACACACCCACTGCTGCAGTCCTCGTAGGTCCTTTATCCCTTAAGCTCTTTCCCAGCCTATCTCCAGCATGAAAGCCTTTTCAGATGGCCCCAGCTAGATGGTCCTCTGACTGTCTGTCCATGCTGCCAAGTCTAGGTCACACAAAGAACCTTCCAGGCCATATGAAGCCCCTGGCCAGAGCTGTGCAAACATAGACCCAATATATAGAATATTCTCCTCTGGTATATCACATCAGGATTGACAATTGTGCTTCACTTAGAAATTCTTTATGCTTAGCCGGGCATTGGTGGTGCATGCCTTTAATCCCAGCACTTGGGAGGCAGAGGCAGGCGGATCTCTGTGAGTTCAAGCCCAGCCTGATCTCCAGAGCGAGTTCCAGGATAGGTTCCAAAGCTACACAGAGAAACCCTGTCTCGAGAAACCCTGTCTCGAAAAAACAAAACAAAACAAAACAAAACAACAAAAAAAAAAGAAATTCTTTATGCTTGTTTAGCAATCTCACATGGACTTGAGAATCTGTGATATGTAAGAGGGCCCATAGTCTTCTGAAGATGAAAACTTGTGCTTACCCCATTGTTGTGTATTTTATCCTTGTGACTATTTATCAATCTCAGCTTGCCTGAGTTCCCTACTCTAATTTTTGCAGCCTATGAATATGACTTTTTCAGGTCTCAAAGAACAGTGTAAGTCATCGGAAATCTAATAGGTACCGAGTACTGCATCTAAAGTGTTTGACACATAAAAGAATCCTGCCACCTAGTCACAATGTAACATTTATCTGTTTTTGTTTTTCTTCTAGTGATGGGGATGGGATCCTGGGCTAGGTAAGCACTTTACCATTGAGCTGTATCTCTATTCCCAGTTTTAAGCTTATGGAAGACAGTGATTTTTGTTTTGTTGGTTTATAGATACAAACACAATGCTTTTGTTTTTGTTTGTTTATTTGTTTGTTTTGGTTTGGTTTTTTGGTTTTTTTTTTTTTTTTTAGACAGGGTTTCTCTGTGACTTTGGAGGCTGTCCCAGAACTAGCTCTTGTAGACTAGGCTGGTCCCAAACTCATAGAGATCCGCCTGCCTCTGCCTCCCAAGTGCTGGGACTAAAGGCATGTGCTACCACCACCGGGCAAACAATGCTTAATGCCCTCACTTATTAACCAGTAAGCCATAGAGGCTGAAGAGGTGGCCCAGTGGTTAAGAGCAATTGTTGCTCTTACAAAGGACCCAGGTTCAGTTCCCAACTCCTATATGTAGACTGCAACCATTTGTAATTCTAGGTCCAAGGGATCCAGAGACCTCAGAGAACACTAGGCACATACACGGTACACATACATACATGTAGGCAAAACATTCATATACACAAAATAAAGTAAATAAATCTAAAATATTTTTTAAAAGTAAGCCATAAACAAAACCCAAACTACAATGCTAACCATGTGTTCTGAAAACTTCCCTCAAATATCTATAGCTTTCTGAAACAATATTTCCAAAACCTCCAAAATATTTGAGTGTCTGTGTGTGTGTGTGTGTGTGTGTGTGTGTGTGTGTGTGTGTTTAGGCCAGAGGACAACCCTGGGTGTAATTCCTCCTACCTTAATTTTTGGAGACTGGTTTCTAACTAGACTAGACCAGCTGGCCAGGGAGCTTTACAAATACACCCATCTCCACCTCCCCCAGTATTGGGGTGAAGAACTCACTGTGTGTTACACTTGCTGCTTTCATGGAGTTCCAGTGGTGAGGCTTCTAATCCATCATCTTACCCAGACATCTCTGCAGTGATGGGCTTGCAAGTGCTACCGTGCTTGGCTTTTTACACCCTCGGTGTTGAACTCAGGTCCCTATGCTTGCCCATGAACACTTTATGGACTGAGCTACAGTCCCAGCCCAAATTCCCCTGGTTACAAACCAAGTATCTTTGATTTTATTGCTGTAAAAGATAGTTCCAACAAGTTCAACATAAAACAAAGTAGAAACTTCTAGAAGTACTTCTAGGTCTTTGTTTCACTAGAAGTTAGCTACAGATTTCCTTCCAGGCGATTAGGAGAAGAACACTCAGAATTTTCTAGATTTCTGCATTAAACATGGCCATCTTTCTACACTGCAGATGATCCCCCAGAGCCATACAGATTTCTGATAAATTTATCCTGACTAGATGAACTCATGGGAGGAAAGGCACACTCGTCACAGTCACCTGTTGAGTGTAGGGCTGAGCAGCTGGTCACTTGGTGACAAAGGAGGTGAAGCAGCAGCTTCTCTGCTGTGGTATTTGAACGTAATTGGCCCCCCATAAGCTCATACAGGGTGGCACTATTAAGAGGTATGGCCTTGTTGGAGTAGGTATAACCTTGTTGTAGGAAGTGTGTCACTTTATGGGTGGGCTTTGAGGTCTCAAAGATGTTCAAAATACTACCCAGTGTCTCAGTTCATTTCCTGTTGCCTCTGGATCAGAATGTAGGACTCTCAGCTACTTCTCCAGCACCATGTCTGCCTGTACGCCACCATGTCCTACCATGATGATAATGGACTGAACCTCTGAACTGTTAGTCACCCAATTAAATGTTTTCTTTATAAGAGTTGCCATGATCAGGGTGTCTCTTCGCAACAATAGAAACTTTAAGACATATTTCAAGAGTCTTCTCAATCTTTCTCAAATCTAAGTCATGATAATTCATCAGAAATATCCCCATTCAGAGGGCTGGAGAGATGGCTCAGTGGCTACGAGTACTGGCTGCTTTCACAGAGGATTGTGGTTCAATTCCTAGTACCCAGATAGTGACTCATAACCATTTCTGTAACTCTAGACCAGGGGGTCTGACCCTCTCTTCTGGCCTCTGTAGGTACCACACACATGTGGTACACACACAGACAGACATTAGATGCAGGCAAAACACCCATACACATAAAATATAACCAAAGGGGAGAACCCCCTCAGGTCTACGGAATTAGACAGTAATGAAACTTTCATGGGCAGCTAAAGCTTTCCATCATTAACCACATACTCTACTTGCTCAGCCTTGGGTAACATGATTGGGCCTGAAACAAAAAGGCCTGGCTCTTGGAGCCTCTTTAAATCCTATCTCTTCCCCTTTAAGAGAATATTGCTGTGCTGTCAATTATTCACAAGACTGTTCTGTCCACATCCCAAACCCAACAAAACCACTACTATTACCTGGGGGACAGGCCCAGTGACCCAGAAACTCAGATTCTCATGGCTTCTGAGGAGATGCAATCTGAAGCTCATCATGACTGCATTCCTAGCATGTAATCAGAACGCCTGAAACTGAGCCCACCATGCTCCCCTTGAAAACTAGCCAAAGAGGAGAAATAGGAGACGGCAGGGGACAGGAGAACAGGGCAGCCCACCTCTTTGCATTACTGTCTCGCAGCATTGCTTTCCCCATCACTCGGGACTTGGTCTCCAGCTCCTGCACCTCCTCCAGCAGCGTCTTTTTGCAGGTGTGCTTGGCCCTGGAGCAGAAGAAGCAAACAAAGAAGATGGCATGTGACCAGTGACACAGCTGTGAAGACTGCTAATCACTCTCCCTACCACACCTAGATGCCCTCTCTCTGGACAAGCTGAGCATGTTACAGGAGCTTCATGTCCCCAGCCCAAAGCATCCTGAGTACCCCGATGAGACCTGGATTGTGAAATGTACATATCATACCCCGTAAAAGCTGAGGACCAGGCAATTCTAACCAAGGACTTGAGGAGCCCGAAGATCAAAGGGTTGGTCCCTAGAGCTTTTACTGCAGGATAGTTTAAACCTTTCTTTCTCTTTGCATAGCCTCTGGCTCCTTGTTTTCTGCTCAGCTGGGTCACAGTGCCTGGGGTTAGTAGTTCTTGTCTCCCTGTTTACTGTAGAAAGAGCCACTACCTCAGCAGACGTGAGGTTTAGGATACCAGAGCTCATGTTCTCAGTGCAAAACCTTGGTGTGAGGTTTGGAGTCGATACACACCCAGTGCAGCTTTCCCATCCTCCTCTGGCCCTGGCTTACTCAGGAAACCCAGAGTTGGTTTCCTGCCACTATGGGAAACCTGGCCTGAGGCTTGGTTCCTCTTGGGTAGTGGAAGAATTACCCGCTCCCTTTTCCTAGCTAAACAAAATCCCTTGCCATGGTCAAATAATCTGTCTATCTCAGGTTCCTCTAAAATGGGAGCTAAACCGTAACCTGTTGAATTCATATATCCAACTCCTGTGCTGGACCCCATGGCTGTGCACATCCTGGTGTAACTAAAAACTACATTGTCATCACCAAGGCAGTGTCTCCTAAAGAGCTCACTTTCTGGTTTCAAGACATTTTATCTCTTTTTGTTTTTGCTATGCTGGGAATTGAGCCCTACCACAGTACATGCAAGGCAAATGCTCTGCCACTGAGCTAACCTTCCACTGCCCCAGCTTAATAGCCCCCCTCTCCATTCTATTTCCTCATTAAATAAATCTTATGTCTATGCGTTAATTTTGTAAAATTTGAAACTAAGCAAAAACTACACAAAACTAAAATTGATCCTCTGGTTGGAAATGTATAGGTAAAGAAAAGGCATTTAACAATAGGTAAAGAAATAGGCTGGGAATGTAACTCAGTCGTAGAGCACAAGGCCTGAGGCTCAGTTCCTAGCACCACTGCCACCACCATCACCACCATCAGCAGCAGCACCATCACCATCAGCAGCACCATCAGCAGCAGCACCACCACCACCTTCACTACCACCAAAAACAATAAAAAGGGAAAGAAAAAAAAAGTAGGACAGATAAAGAAAGCAAACACTGCATAAAGAAGGTCATGACAATCATAAGTGAGCGGGGCTGCTAATCTTCCTTAGGAACAGCTTTGCTGATGAACTCAGTTTAAGGAACTTGTTCGGCAACAAGATGCAGATAGGATAGTAACCAGAGCTGAGTATGACAGCTCAGAAGTGAAAATGGTGACTGGGAACATTTTGGAGACGGGGGTTTGCTCCTCCCATCAGCCCTCTGCATGTAAGGACAGTGGACCTGCTCAGATAAAGCCGGGTCACCAGCACTTCATGTTAATCTGTAATGGAGTACTATCAGGAAGACATGGGACATGCGCCTGCCATCCTTCCCCACAGAGTAAACAAGCCAAAACCACACAGGCTTTAACACATAATACCTTAACTACTTCAAACGGAGTTCTGAAGCTCAGTGTTGATAAAATACCAAGTTCAAAGTAGGGACCATGGAATTTTAAGTTAAACAATAAATGAGAAAATGGCCAATATTTTGCAGGAGAGAGAAAGGACATTAAAACATGCTGTCCAATATTGCTGAATGGTCCTGGTCCCATATAATCTTATGGGCCGTGTTGATAATAAACTAAGTGGCATGCTCCAACCTGCTCAAAGTCACTTTACACTGGGGTGGCATGCTTCCCCACACTGCTCTCCTTTTTGCGCAGGACAGTCAACCTCTGTGCTAGCCCTAATTCTGTCTTCTGGGCCAGGAGAGACAAAGTTGCTGGGGCTTGAGATAGGAAGAGGAGGCATGGAGTGGGAGCAGGATAATGGATCCGGAAGCCTAGGCCAAAAATAAAGAATGTGACACCCAGCATGCAGATCCTTGCCTTGGGAGAGCAATGGTTTGCTCGCTTCCATAAACCCATAAACTGTTTTCTCTGAGGATGCAGAGCCAGACAGGCTTCTATGAACTAGGCTTGGAACACAGTCACTGATGAGAGCCTTAGGTTGTAAGCCTAGGGAAGCATGTAGCATTTGAGTAGAAGGATGCCAGAAATTTAAAACCACTCCCTCAAGTACTATGACCTGCTAAGGGCAGAAGTAGGTAGAAAGGTGATCTTAATTCTCCCTGTAGCACATGCCTGCAGTGATTTCACACTGACCAGTTATCAAGGCAAAGCTATAAGCATTTGCCATTGTTGTGGAGGCCTGTCTCACTGAGAGCTGGGGTTTGGGTCATAGCTGTGACGTTAGATTATCTGTGCCTTTTCCCCCAGTGGCCCAGGTTCCTTCATCTCATCTCATTCAAGACACCAGGTGACTACAGAATAGATAGAATGGAGACATCTGGGGGTTGACAGATAAGTCACTGGGAGCTTTCCAACCCAGGAAAAGGCATCTCCAGGTTTTAAGGGACTTTTTAAAAATTAGCTTTAGTTGTACGAAAGAGTGGGTTTCGCTGTGAGATTTTCACACATCCATATGATCATATATATTTGTGTGCGTGTGTGTGTTGTGTGTGTATATATGATATATATGTATATATGATAATTTTCAGCCCCTCCGATACCTTCTCTAGTCTACCTCTCTTTGGTCTCAGTCCTTCTCTGCTTTCATGTCCCCTTAGGTACTCTAAAAAGAAACAGCTGGGGTTGGTATCTTGAACTTTTCATCTTTTTGTTTCTAAAGCTTACTGTCTGAGCTCCCTCTTTTGCATGCAAGAACAGTAAATCATCCGGAAACATCAAATTCCAACTGTGGATGAAAATGGAAGGACAATGTGCTTCAAGAGAAATTGGTTTGGTTAGGATTTTAAAAAAGAATCAAGGCCCATTTGTACCCAGAAATTGCTTTTATTGCCATTTAACTACCTATCTGGAGTTATAAGGAAATGAAGTCATTCTGGAACTGGGGAATGTATTGTATGATGCCTAGTAAAAAAAGACAGAATAGTTTGATAAAAGAAAGCATGTTCCTCCATGTTCGGTGGCCTTGAGCTTTATGCCATTTATAGAGAGTGACAGTAACCAATTTCTTCTGGATGCAGAGCCATACCTGGCAGCTTGCTTAAGCACACTGTCACAGGTGAGCATTTTGGGAGCGCGCAGGCTAACAGATATTAAAATAATTCTGGACAATTTACACTCCATGAGTCTAACAATAGTCCTCATTAGCCAGGGGTCACATATAGTCAATTATATTAATAAACAATCTGGCCATTTGAGCCCTCATAAAGCATTTGAGAAGTAATAGGGCAGGCTTTTTATGGTGTTCCAAATCAGACTTAAGGCAGTCTAAAAATGGGTCTTCGTCCAGAAAGCTGACAAACTTGGTGGAAAAGTGAATTACCTCATTCCATTTCTCTCTTTGTAATCTTAGCAGCTCAGGTCCTGGAATGGGAGTGCAGATCTGGCCAAAGGAAGTAAGAGGTGCCTAGAAGCGAGTCACTCACTGTCTTAGGTGCTCATAGATGTCCCCTTGAAAAGTTAGGCATGTTCTGTGATGAAGTTTTTAAAGACATGCCAACCAGTCCTAGGGTGGCAATGCCTGCAGTACCAGCAGCATTCATGAAACCAAGACAGGAGAATCTTGGCATCAATGCTAGCTTGGGCTATGCAGAAAGAACTTATCTCAAAAAAGCCCAACCCAAACCAAACCAAACCCCAAACAACAACAACAACAACAACAACAAAAAAAACCCAAAGGAAAAAACAAGGGCTGGGAGTGTAGCTCAGTGGGAGATTTGCTAGTACAGGACTGGGAGAGAGAGAGAAGAAATCAAACGATGGGTAGATGGAGACATAGTGGTTCTCAATCTTCCTAATACTGCGACCCTTTAATACAGTTCTTCATGTTATGGTGACCCTCAGCCATAAAATTATTTCATTGCTACTTCATAACTGTAATTTGCCACTGTTATGAATCATAATGTAAATAAATAATATGCGATCTCCAAAGGGATTGTGACCCACAGATTGAGAATCACTGTTGTAGAGCGTGGTGGGGCATGGGAATGTGGAGAACATTTCTAAAACTTTGCATAACTGCATGCAGTTCAGACACAAAGATCACAGGTGAGTTTTGTGGCTTTGCCAGGGGCAATTAGTCTACCACATGCTTTCTCTCCTTGGGAGGAGCCACCAGATTTACTGGCAAATGTTTCCAGCATGGAGTATGATATCACATAGGATATGGACCCCATGCTCTGTGGGACAATGCCCACATACACTCATAAAACTCTTGTTCTTCGGGATGGGGACGGCACAAGGTTAGACACCAAACAGACATTGCAAAAGGGTGTATACTATAGGCTCTTCCAAATGTCAGCTAATTTAACACACGGTTCTAGCTCTTCTCAATAATGCAAGAGCAAAATGCTTTCAGGAAGTGGTTATGCAAATCAGTAGGGCCCCTTCTGGCTCTGTCAGACTCAGTAGGGCCCCTTCTGGCTCTGTCAGACGATAGAATGCCATTCCTAGGAGAAGCTGTGCTTGCCACTCCTAACAGGCAGCAGGCAGCAGCTGCCAGGGCCTCAACAATACAACAGGCAAGGGTAGCCTTCCCCACTGGCTCCTCAGACCTCTCTGTGGGGCTCTGGTCCAGGCTGGAACCCCGCTGGCAGGCTCCTTGGAGAGAAAGTGACTTTTACTCTTTCCATATGCTGGAGCTGGAAGTAGTACCATCTGATTTATCATCGTTAAAATGTAAATGGTGCTAATTTTATAGCCTACGTCTTGCTGGAGGGAGGAGATCATTTGTTTAATGGTGACAGAGGACTTGTACTTGAAATGCATTTGAGGAGGTTCTGCAGACACAGGAGGCAGAACATTCCCAATCCATAAACCTCTCTTTGAAATGAAACAAAGATACTTTTGCTGAAGACCCTCTTGGCAGAAGGAATGAAACTCAATAAAAACCTGTTTTCATGACATTAATTCAAGATAGCTGAATTAAGATAGTTGGGGATGAATTTGTGAGCCTATAACTACTTCCCATCAGACAGACAAGCCAAAAAGAAGCTCGCCCCTAAAACTAACTTTTTTGCAGAAGTGTACAAATTCAGCTAGGGAATAAACATATTGTGCCAATATTCAGCCTACTGGCTCAAGGAACAAGTAAAGGAATGAATTTTTCCTCACAGTGCATCTATTAGGTTAAGGAAACACCTTTCCTGGCTATAACCATCCCAAAGGATCCAATTATGCCATTTACAGAACATAGTTATAGCAAATGAAACAGAAGCAGTTAGTTAGCGAAAGCATTTAAGAAGTTGAAATCATTTGGTTTTGAGTAGTAGTCAAAAAACTAGCAAAAGAAAAACATAAACAAAATATTCATTCTATGAAAATGATTGCCTTCCCTCTCTCTGCATCAGCATAATCAGTTGTCAAGATAACGTCCAAATGAAGACTTTTTCAAAAGATACCCCCGTCAGGCAAGAATAATTCCTGCTGAGTGTGGGAGGAATGATGAGATAAAAATGAGACCCGATGTCTTTTCCTGGAAGGCTTGGGTTAAAAATCTCATTTTGCTACCTCAGGGCCCTGAAATAATTGTGGTTTGCCCAAGCTAGAAGTCTCAATTTTCAGGGAACTTCGCTGTATTTCTAGGAGGAACTGGGCCCATTCAAACCTAAACCAAGACTATGGGCATTAGAGCCATCTCTCAGTTACTCCTGAATGGAATTAAAGGTTATATTCTCTTGGGACATCAGTGCTTCTTTTATATTTTAGGAATGATAACATTTCAGACATAGGAGCAGGAAGCAAGTTTGAATCAATTTCCATGTAATCTGCATTATGATTTTATATTTGTGATGTGATTTTCTTAGAGTTCTTGAGAAGAATTTGATTGGCGGGATTCCTGCTGTGAGTTGGTTAGAAGGATGAGGCATCCTTCGCTTTTGTCATGGAAGTGACTTACATGCATATATATGGTTTTCTACTGTACATGGGGCTTTGAGCCAGGCACTATTTGTGGTTGCTTGGCATCAGCTTTAAGATGTGAAATGAGTGTCTGGTGGTGTTTCCAAAGCATGATGAAATGTGTTTGTGTTTGGAAACAGCCAGGCAGTCACACCCGAGGCAACGCCCCTATTGACTGTCAGGTGACCTCTGCTCAGTACTCCTTTTCCGATGCATTTTCCAATCAAAATGAAGCAAAGCTTAAACTTAAAACAAACAAACAAAAAACAAAACAAAACAAAAACAAAAAAAACCCCTTTCTTTGACAAGGGTCAGGAGTCCTGTTTCTTCTTAATTCCCCTAGCCCCGACGAGAGAGGCAGCTGCAAGGACAGATGTGCAGGGCCTCAAGGAAGGACTTCACTATTTACTTACGCTCTCCACATCACATCTTCAATCAAACATGCAGTTGGAACCAGGAACAATCCCAACCAGAAGTATGCAGAGCTCAGGACCATAGTTGCCTGCAGGAAACACAAGTCACAGTCTATTATAGGTTCTCCTTCAAACAGTGGGGTGTGACTTAATAAGTATAGAAGAGCCTGCAACATGGAAACAATGGAAAGTATTAAATCCAGGGATAGGCTGGGGACGGATGGAATGATTCCTTGTCTGGTCTCCGCCGGTTCTCACCTCCATTCTTTCTGTTGTGCTGTTGTCCCTGCCTTGGAACGTCAAGCTCCCTCCTCAACAGAATGCTGTTCTAATGCCCCCCCCTCCCTGCCAAGAGAAATGTTAGAGCCATCTTTCTTGTGGAATAAACTGCTTCCTGGGGCTCCCTTTATTCATTGTGCAGCTGACCCTAAAGGTCCATGCTTCCCCCATTTGTAAGTGGAAGATGTCCATATTAGAGACCCTGGCTTCAGGGAGTTGAAAATGTGGGGTCTGTTATGGGTAAGCATGGCAGTTATGGGAGAGCATCTTTGTTAGATTTTATTTGTAGTTTTCACCATTTTTCTGTCTTTTTTTTTTTTTTTTTTTGAGATGGGTCTCTGATCTGTAACTTGGGTCTTTCAACTCCTGATCCTATAGCTTTAATGTCCCCAGGCAGGGGACCACATGCTGGGCTTACGAAGACAAGGTAAGGAAGGCAGAGTGAGCCAGTGATGGAGGCAAGACAATCAGTTTAAGGGACAGCCTGGTTATGTGAGATGCTGTATCAATAACCCCTCTCTCAACTAACAACAGCATCAGCAGCACAACAAACCAACCCCAAACACCACAAGCCAAAGACAGCTAGAGTGGGATGGAAAGGGGACAGACGGCACCGAGCACAGCTTTTGGTGGACTTCCTTGCTCCCAGCAGGCTAAGCCCAGGACAGTTTGGGTTGGCAACATAGAGGCTAGGAGGCAGAGAGCCACAGCTAACTGTGGTAAGGGAGACACTTGGGACACAAGCAGAGGCAGGAAATGGGGACTGGAGCTCCCTGGCTCCTCAGAGTTTGGTTTTGAGTAAACAAAAGTCAGGAGCATGAAGCCGGCTGATGATTGGCAAGGCAGTTTCCCATGGCAGCTGTGGGGCTAATGCTGCAGATTTAAAATATAGCTGGGTCCCGCTGTTCCCTGGGTTTTCTTTCCATTTCATTGACATGTTTTGCTAGAACTTAGTGCACAGTAGGGTGAGGTTCACGGAAGTGAGGGTTGCAGAGGTGAAGTCCGAAGGAGAAAAAGAGCAGAGAGACGGAGACTGTCATCTCACCACCTCACAGGGACTTCAGGGGTGGAGGGTCAGGGGGATCCCAAAGCGACTCCTATTCTATGGATGCACCCTGGTCCCAGCCTGGCATCCAAGCATCAGGCCACCTTGTTGCTTTCTCTGCCTGCAGGGCCTCTGTGATAGGGTCCCTAGTCAGAAGCACCTACACAGCCCCTCTGGACAAGCCCACATCTGACCACAGCCTTTTGCCTCTGAGTTCCATCGTATGGTCCTGCTTGTGGCTCTTGGCATCCATGACAATTATCCTGACACACTGTGAAGTTTGAGGCAGAGGAAACCAAAGCACAGCTTGGCCCCTGCTTTTCCCCAAAATTGAAAGTATCAATTTGTTGAAAGAGACATTTAAAAGTATTCAAAGACATGAGTGTATTTTCCTACCAATTACCCTTCTGAGAATTCATCCCAAGAAGGGAAAGCATGAAAAGCATGGAATATTCTTGAGAGTGCTCTGTAGCATAGAAAAGAGAAGGAATATAATGGCTTCCTGAATGGATTATAGTCTGCAGTGAAAGAAACATTACACTTACTGTATGGACACAGAGATGTCACCTTATATTGCTAATTAACCAGAAGGGTTCTAAGACCCCTCCAAGGGATTCTGTCATGGGGTCCAAGCCTCAATCTAAGCCTGAAGAGTTCTTTCCAGATACATTGAGGAAACCCAGGGAACATGACCCCCAAATACTGCATCCGGGAGTACTGGGTAATTTTAATCATGCATATAAGGGTCAGAAAGTGCTGATGGGCTTTTCTCTATCGTTCCTGCTTCCACCTGGAGAACAGTTCCAGCAACTATGATCCCCATGGCCTTCAGTCTTCTTACTGGAAGGCCATCAATGAGAAGGATTAAATTTCTCTCATGGAGGAAGAAACCCCAAGTCAAACAAGACACCAGGATCAAATGGAACACCAGTGAACCTTGGCCCTTCAGACTCATTCTCAGCTTTGAAGATCATTTTCTCTTTCTTGACAACTGCCTGCATGCCCATCTTCTCTCTTCCCGGTAGAGTTTCTAGGTCTTGGAGGGTAACTGGGAACTCTCTTTCTTGTGGTGCCCAGTGTGAGAAAATACATACACACATTTCCCCAGCTACTCTCTGCCCATTGTCAGTTGATTTCAGTAGATTTGAAGTGTCACTGGTTGAAGGGAAAAGAGAAAGGATGTTTCCCCCAATCATATACCTGCAAGTCCTTGTATCTTTGTGCATTAGGTGTTATACACACTGCTAATCTCTATCAACACACACTGTGGTGTTTTTGTTCTGTTGTGTTATACCCTCACCTTTAATAAACTTTGCAGGCCAGGTGTGGTGGTGCATACCTTTAATCCCAGGAGCAGAGGTGGCTGATCTCTGTGAGTTCAAGGCCCAGCCAGGTCTACAGTGAGTTCTGAACCAGGAAGGCTACATAATAAGACCATGCCTCAGAAAGAAAATAAAACCTACCAACTAACCAAACAAAAACTTTCCTGAATGCAAAGTCAATGGAATGACTCGTACACTGGTGACCTGGCCAGGATCTACCCTGTCACACATGCAGCTGCTTACATGACTGGGACAAACAAGCAATTTCCCATCAAACACATGTCTGGGTGGCAGCAAAAATGAGTTGTATTCTCATATCACTTTGTCTATCTCTACTTCCTGTTTTTCTAAAGAAAACATGTGTTATTTAAATGACACCAAGGTCAACTTCTACCTTACACCAAGGCAACCTAGGCAGGGGCTGAACTGGCTTCTCTTACTGACTGTCTGCAGAGCCTTACTGTTACTATGAAGGGCCAGGCTGGTGCTTGGTTCCTGGTGGAATGGGATCTGGCTCTACTTTGGAGGTTATGGACAGAAACATCTGCTAGGTTCATTTTTTAGAGTCCAGTTATTCCACAATGATGCTATGTCAGAAACTCAAAGAGAGCCATGGGTGCAGAATGAAAGGAGGAACATGAACTTGGGCTCCCTCCTTAGAAGTCCAAAGCCTCCTCCCAAATGAACAATGCCTTCATGCAGATTTTTAGAACAACCTTTCCACTGTTGGTCTTTAAAGCTAGGACTATGAATATAGAGCATACATAACTGACATTAAAGGTGTGTCTCAGAAAAGTTGGAAAGATGTGGTAAGTGTGGAGAAGGCTACAGCTTACCTGTAAGGAACAAGGACTAAGGTTGTTATTTGCCGCTGTGATGCGGGATGTCCCTCGGAATGCTGTGACTATATGTTTCTCTTATTGGTTGATAAATAAAGCTGTTTCTGCCAATGGCTTAATAGAGTAAAGCCAGATGGGAAATCTGAACAGGGATAGAGAGAGGTAATAGGCAAGGTGTGAAGGGATCAGCTCCCCATTTCGGCAGCCATGACAGTAACACGTGCTTGCCATAACCCTGCCTTGGTCACTTAGAGGTCAGATGCCTGCCTCGTGACAAGGAACCAATCAGAAGTTAGCTGGTAGCGCTATGCTTTACGACCCTGGGTGTACTTTACGGACAAGTGCACAGCAATGACACACAGAGCATAGCAACCACCCTGGGAGGGCTTCTGGGCCATAACAACCAGTTGACCAATCAACACAGGGCAAGCCCTCCAAGCCTGGAGGCACACCAATCGTGAGCCTGTGCGTACCCCTAGACACTCCCCTTGTGCTGCCCTATAAGATCGCTCAGCAGCCGGTTCAAACTGCCTTTTATAGCCAACCGCCATGGTGGGTGGGTGAAAGACCCGAGCTAACATGGGGTTAGCTCGTTAAATTACAATAAAGCCTCATGCATTTTGCAGCAAGCTCTTGAATCTGCCTGGTGATTGGGGTGACCGCGGTCGTGGCCTGGGACCCCGGATACCTGAGTTTTCCGGGGGTCTAACAGGTGGAGGAGACACCATGTAGCCTCTGGGGAGTCAAGATGCCAGGACATCACCACTGATAAGCCAAGCCCATGTGGAGACACACAGATTAATAGAAATGGGTTAATAATGTAGAGAGAGCTAGCCAGTAAGAAGCCTGAGCCATTTGCCCAACAATTGTAACAGATAGTAGGCCTCTGAGAGGTTATTCATAGCAGCTTCAGGGACCCAGTGGGGGGAGAGAAACAGGTCCAGTGGGACCAGACTAGATGGAGTGTAGTGAGACTTCCCTTAAAGTACAACATTTAGTCCTCTATCGATACTTTTTAAAGAATAAAAACACTGCAGTGTCTCCAAGCACCTGTTGCCAGAGAGGAATCACCACAACTGAGGTGGCCCTGCCCTTGAACCAGCTCCTTATCCTAACTTCAGGGAGACCAGCTCCTCCCCACTCCTCGAGTGTCCACAGAATGAAGCCCCAGAGTCCCAACACAGAGGTCTCACTTTTGGGGCTTACCTTCTACTTCCACAAGAAACTCCAGGCACCAGCTTCACATTTTACATATAAGAATTTTTGTAAAAGGTGGGAAGTAATAAAAACAGAAACACCGAAGGGAATGATAGCTGCCCAGTAACACAAGTATAGTTTAGATATGAGCCTGAGATACTTACTCATTGGTTGTGGCCCATATAACTTCTCTACTTGTTACTTACCCCATGCTTGGGAAATTATTTTCAAGTCAAAGGCTAAAAGAGCTTCAGTTTTGTTTTTGACGTCTGCCTCTCCAATGCTGTGTTGTCTATGAATGTGCTGTGTTGTCTGTGAAGGGTTAAGCACATTCTCTTCCCTTTCTACTGGAATCTGATTCTGTTCTTTTTTGAAATCAAGACTGAACCACGATGAGTGGTGGATCT